GCTGCGAACTCGCTGCGAAGCAGCAGTGGTTGGCGAGCGCAAATTGCTCGCCGCGTCCTCGCGGCGAACTCGCGGCGTCACCGCCATAGTGTGCATTGCTCCATTGCTTCACATGTACTGCTAAAACGCGCGAGAAAATGACGCGGCGAGCTCGCGAAAATAACTCGCTCGTGTGCATCGAGCCTTAGTCAGGGTTGCGACGATAGTCAGTAATCTGGTTGAAATTTGTAACTAGGCAGCTCCTGATTAGAGCCAACGTGATTGGTGCAAAATACAGGTCTGGAAAATAAGAATCGAACAAGAGACGTGTACTAAATTGTTCAATCTAAAATGTAATTAAACGTACGGATATTACGATTGTGGATATATATCAGTTTTTGAATAATGAACTATATATCCCTGTTGCTAGAGGGTGGGAGTGGGGTACTTTACAAATTTTTGCCGGGCATGGGAGCAAGCAGGAAGACAAAGTACACGCTATATCCATGTGATGTTTTTCACGTGTAGAATTTTTTTTACATGCACACATAAAAACGTGCCAATTTCTGCAGATTTGTTTTGTGGTGATGTGGAGGAATGTCTTTAAAGATCAGTGTCAGACAATGAGTTATCATATCTTGCCATCGCAATTATTTGTAATTTTTTACTTTTCGGTTCCGGGCAGGAAGTGCTAAGGAAGTAAATCGATTCATTGTTGTTAGAGAGCTGTACTTTTTGACTCGTATCGGAAAACCTTGTGCGTGGCAGTGAGTTATGCTGTTAGGGCCGGGAGCCGGAAAGTGACAGTTGCGTTTCCTTTCATCAGTAAACGCGCAGAACATCTTGGATTCGTCTTCATGTTCGTTAATACAGATCTGTTATAAAAACAATGTGATGGGCATTTAAATGTTATTTTGATTTTTTTCTTCTAATTTTAACGCTGTCTGTGGCACATATAGTTCTTTCCCTCTTGATTGAGAGGGATTTTAGGGAGATGTTGGGTTAAATGGTGCGATTCCAGGTTCTCATGGCGGCTAGTATTATGATGACTGTCTTCTGGGATGTTGCGCAGTGTAGCCTGGTAGAAAAAGGCACCATTGTCTCCATTTTCAAGGCTTATTGCTCTATTATTGGAGACAGCGAGCACTTCAGAAACGTCGATGGACTTCTACCACACTTCATGGTGTTACAACGCAGAAGACAGAGCCATGTTCATACTTGACGCTAAGAGAACTCGAAATCTCAGTTTTTCTTGTTGAGCCCAATGTACAATATTCCCATGAATCAGCAATTTCATTAGTTCCACACTGTTTACTTGAAGTAACCCTAAGCAATAAAGGACACGTTCACTGCAAATAAAACCGTGTTAGAAAATTAGTAAGAATAGAAGTCTGTGTTAGATCTGAGAACGGAAAAAGTGAATTGGAATTGCCTAGGAATTTATAAACGTCTGACTTACAAGTTTGCTGTTTCGTATCCGTTTTCCTCGTGCGTGACTCAAGTCGAATACTTCTCAAGATACACAATTGAACCCCTTAGAATTATAAATGTAGCAGTTTTTTATCGTGTAATAGTGTCATTGTCCTTGGATAACAACTGTATGTCTCTGTAGTTTTATTTCGTGTGTAATTTAGTGATAGGACAGCTGCATTCTCTTACAATACTCCGATACTATTTATGAAAGCGCATTTATAATCAGCATTAAAAAGCAAAATGTTGTAGAATCGTGTAGCTTTATGAAAGTCGCGAACAATGGAATGGGGTTTATGAAAGTCTTTACATATGTTATTGAAAGTTCAGGAAAAGTAGAGATGGAAGAATCGTTGAAGTGGTTACGGGCAGAAGTTCTAGGCTTGTGTTAATAGGCCTATAATGCATGAGCTGCCAAGTGAGGAAGATTACTACATTGGACGCATGGAGTAAAAATGACACTTTCGACTTGTGTATGTATATACAGTGAAATCACCATGAACTGAGATAAAATAAGCTACTTGGGACAGAAAAAACATTCCACGTTTATTTCAAAGGCTTTGTAGTCAGTGCGTGTATGTTACATTGTCCCAGCACCGCTGACTCATGAGATATCAAAAGTGACGTCAGTCATACACTGACGTAGTGAATCCACTACTTTCGTGATAAATAGCAGTCGGATTGTCAGGAATATTTTAATAAAATACCCAGTTATGTTTATTGGTTCCATAAATCTGCAATTGTAATATAGATTTTGGAAATTAATCTCAAACAGGACTCTAAATTAAATTTTATCATGAACGTGCTGATGATGTTATTTTAACATGTTCGACCATCACTATCATTAGTCGGTCATCTAAAGTTTTGAGCATCGCGACTCCATACTTCAACATTTTTTCAGAAGCTTTAGGTTGCGTCTTGTCAGGAAGGACCTCTGAAACGTTGGCTGTCTAACAGACTACACGGCGCAATAACCCAAAAGACAGGGCTCACCGCCGTGAAAACCTCAAATTCTTCCTGACGATGGAGATTCGATTCCCGGCAAGGGCAGATATTTTTGTCTTTGCCCCAATGTTCAGACTGGCTCTGTGAAGATACGTCTGACGAAGTTGCTCCATACTCCCTCTTCGGCGTGCATTTCTGAAGTACACGAACAGTTCTTGTGTTGTAAGAAAACGCACGACCTTGTGCACAAGAAGTTGAAAATGCGTTATGTGCACAAGAAGTTGAAGGTCATTTCCAAATTTATAGCAATTTTTCCAACACTTGACTTTCTTTGTACCTTGCTGACGTCTGCAAGGCGGTAAGTAGGATTATAGGGTTGTTTCTGAATAAGCCACCGCTCGGTCTGTTGTCTTCTTTACACTATCCTAACTATGTACTTTCACAATATCGAAAAGTAAAAGTACAAGTATTATTGTGTTTGAAAGTAGAAAGGAGCGTGTGTTGTGCTGATGTTCACGCAGATATCCGATACGTGGGCATTCACCTTCCGTAATGGTGCAGACTACCGAGGTAACGGCCCTTAACGGTACAACGGTACAACGGCCGCCTTCGTTGTCTTCCAACAGCACATCGCATTTCACCTCTTTCTTTCCTATCTCAGTCCAACATTAATGACACTGAATATGAAGGAATTTGTACTTGGTACCAAACACAGGACAAAGTTCAGGGGAACGAGATTGTGGATAAAATGTAATCATTCTGTTGGGTCTTAATGCAACTATGAGCTATCGGCTGCTAATACCAAGCGGCGTCGAAAGATATGTATTGGGGTAGACTTGATGTCGTGAGAAATGCAGTACAATCGTGCCCGATTTTAACACTACCCCAGTTTGCGCCGGAAAGGACCGAGGAATACCGTGAAAAGTCTCGGGGTTCGCCATTGAATTTAACATCTGTGCTTCTACGTTGTTCAAGAGCAGTCAATTTTTATTTTTGTATCTGTGCAAAATAAAGAAGCCGAAGACATTGGTAGAAAGGCACATATTAGTATTTCAGTCAAGGGAATGAGATGGGCGAGAGATGTAGCACACATGCATGTAAACTTAGTCGGAATGCGTTAAGCAGCTTAATTTGTAGACCTAGCTTAGATTTAAAGGATAATATTAAAACTGGTTTAAACAAAGGGACGAGGATGCAGAGTGGAGTTATCTGGTTCATGTCTAGGTTGAATGGTGGACCTTGACCAGCTTTTCAAGGAGGTTTATCCTACTTGGAGTCATTATCACTTTTAAATGAGTGCGGGTTGCGTTTATTACAGGATTGTTATCGCTCATTGAGACTTTGTTTCTTTGCTTAGTGCCGCTCTATAAAATGCGGTTTACAGACTAAGCTAATGCATAGGTAGTAGGTAGGTTTATATTGGGCAGTAATTCGGTGCTGTGACTGCTAACTAAAACTTAGGAAAATTTGAAAATTTCATCGACGACACATCGCTGAAAATCGAGAAAAAAAAATTCACTAAACTCGGGAGACAGAGAGGAAGAGGAGTGGGGGCGCGGTAATATACGCCCCCAGACTTGATCAATATCGAGCGACTTGCTGTTTGTGGGGAGCGTCATATTTAGGTAGCGTTAATTCAAAGACCATCCGGCTAGCACAGTCTGACTGAAAATGTTGCGATTTTAATGAAGCTTTATAGAGGAGGGGTAGGGTAACGTATAGAATTTTGGTTGGAAAGCCTGAAGTAGAGAAACCACTCGGAAGATCAAGGAATAGAGAGGGATATAATATTCAAATGGGTCTGAAAGAAATAGCATGTGAGGTTGTGAACTAGGTTCGTGTGGCCCAGATTATGAACACGGCAATAAATTCGTAAAATGCAAGGATTTCCATGATTAGCTGAGCGACTATTAGCTTCTCTCCAAGGACTCTGCTCCATAGAGTTTATATGGTTGACATGTAGTGGCAAAATATGAATTTGGGAATAACATTCTTACTTTACTGGCAACACTGTATTTATGTTCTTATTTTCTATTCGTGAGCGATATTTGTTCATTAATTGTACCATAGTTGTGTCGTCACGTGTGTCAAAATTGAGTCTATCTCAGACGATAGACAATGCCCAACATAATTATGGTATAAATAACGTGGCTTACGGATAGCAGGGCCCAGTAGTTGGACACCTCTAATACCAAAAGCCGTTGTTGGACACGATAATGAGCCAAGTTCCAGCAACCTCCCATCCTCTCAACACATCTCTTTAATATACCACTGCACCATAACAGCATCCTTCCATCTCCTAGAAACTGATCTTCTGTGAAGAAGTATGTAAGGGACGCACAAAACATGAGAGCGAAGTGAATACAATTTTATGACAACATATATGCATGAAGATGACTGTCTCCTGGGATGTTGTTCTGCGCAGTCTCGTAGAAATTTACCTATGTTTCAGAGGTGCTTGCTGCCTCTGTCATCAGGGTGATGAGTCCCAGAAGACTGTAATCTTCATACCAGCCACCCTGAAAACTTGGAAATTCACAAGTGTGTTTGTTCTATTTGGTGGTGGTTGTAAACTATGTGTTATGTGTTTGTGTTGTTTGTTGCAGCTTACGGCAAAGTGTTCTTGGTTCGCAAGAAGGGCGGCGTTGACGACGGACACCTGTACGCGATGAAGGTGTTGAAGAAGGCCAGCATCGTTCAGAAGAAGAAGACAACTGAGCACACCAAGACGGAGCGGCAGGTGTTGGAGGCCGTGCGTCAGTCGCCGTTTCTCGTCACCCTTCACTATGCCTTCCAGACGGACGCCAAGCTGCATCTCATTCTCGGTGAGTGGCTTAGTTCTTTGAAGCCGAATCTGCTTTATCAATCAGTAACACTGCATTTTGTGTTTATGTGTTTTGTATGATTTTCGGTATACACAGCGACTGTATCCTCAAACAGCATTAACCACTTGTTCGTTATAATATTGATGTGTTGTGTTTTCTTTGCGGTACGGACCGAATTCTTAAGCTGTTTAGACGAGCTTGGGGTTTAAAGGGTTAAATGGAATGAGAATAGAAGATTAAATCACTGAAGTGAGGTATTGCATACTGAATGACGTACAGAATTATGCTTATGTAACTGTAAAAAAAATCATTTGACTTTTACGTGACAATTAAGGAAATAATGAGAAGCGCATTAGATTCAATATAAAATCTATAGATAGATAATGGGACGTAATAGTGGCCTTATTATCTAACCCAAAAGGATAGAGTCGCACTGAGGTCTTTGATAATTACCAAACCCTGGTCAAAATATTTCTTGTTTGTAAGGAATCATCCTGCGCTTCTTTAGTCCATTTCACATTATCATGTCCAGTTTATCTTTAATCTGTTTTAATATTATGTTTTTATCCAGGTCTCTGTTCGCCAAAGTGGTCTCTTAATCCTTGTGTTGTTAACCAAAATTAACGCTACTGGTACCAGTTTTAATGGAAAAAAGTATTTTCACGTGTTTGAATGTTAGTACAACACGAATGCAGAGCAATGCATTATAGCCTATTACCAGATTATCGACACCGATTCTTCGCAGGTAATAGAGTCTATTCTAAATTCCCCGCGCAGAACACAACATTTTATGGTTTTGCAAGTCTATTATATAGTTTTGTGAACTCTGTTCAAGGCAATTGATTTCAAGTAATTTGATCTGTTTCTTTTACTACGTAGATTAGGAAACAGGTTCCAGTTTTTCAGAGATCTAATCGACTCTTCTTGTAAATCAGCGGGGGAATGGCAAGACTCTTAGCATACATTAGCAAATTATGGAAATTTTTAAAAGGCACGTTCCTACAAGCATTCTGAGATGCATGATGTTTTGTTAATTTCTCATTCAACGCCCGTAATCAAAACAGAACACAGCTTTTAAAGATCATGGAATAAGGAAGAGGTTCCGCGTTAAGTGACTTTCATCGCTGCACAATCAGACGACGGCTTTCCAGTGATCGTATTGACCGGTTAGTGCTTTCCAGATCTGAAGCAGGAAGTGTATCCATGTCAAGGGCGTACATTGATTCGCGGCGAGAGATCACAGTTCCTGCCTCATTCAGCAGTTTGCAGGTGGTTTCGAGGTAGCGCCAGTTGAAAATCTTTACTCAGAAACCGGGGGGAATGTTAATCGTTGCAGCAGTAACTTATGTGGTCATTGTGCAGCGAAGTGATTCAGCAGAACTGGCATCTGCTGTGATAAACAGCCGGTTACAAGTCGCAGACGCAATGATGACCGATGATATTAAGGAAAGTTAAATTTATTCACAACCTAATGTCTCTGATACGCGGCTATTATTGTAGTAGGCTCTGTTGCTTTGTATAACTTAACGGAAATGAACCTAAAGGTTCCATTAACCTTCTAAGGACTCTGCTCTATGACGTTTGTTCGTTACTTAATCGGAATCATTTTTATGAAAGCATCTCTGACACGGTGACCCATAAGCCGTAAGCTGTTTTTCATATGAAGAACGTATGAAATTTGATAGTAAAGGAAAATAACACTCGATCCTTCTTTATTCTTTCAAGCAGGCTTCATTTTAAAGCATTATTAACCCTTTAAAGCCCAGTGCTAAATATATATACCTCATGTTGATTTTTCTCTACAGCGTATTGATGGGTTTCTTATGACTAAGAATAAATGGTGATTGTTTCCTCAAACGTCATTGATCAAATGGTGTTTGTAGACGGGGAAGTGTAATGTTAATGTTTGAGGTACGGACTGAATTTTTCAGATGAGCTTTGGGTTCAAAGAGTTAATAAGTGTTGTAGTAGAATGAATAAGTAGTACTTGTTAACGGTTAATCTAACTGGTCTGGGTGTTAAAACTTTCTGAACACGAATCAAAGATCCAGAACGAGTTCCCCCCAGCGGCGATCTTGGCAATGTATTTGCCTTGTAGATCTGCATCTTTCTGGAATCAACTGATACGTTTATCGCGCACATGAATCGCTCTTGCACTGTGGTGGTAGTGGCACAAGGAAAGTCCGCTGAAGTCAACATCTTGCATCACGTTGCATGCAGTCAGATTTCGTTTCTACACAGTTCTAGGGAATGCGATGATTCGTCGAATTTTCGCCTTTTCAGAGAATCATCAGCATTGCTATTTTTTATGATGGCGTCCGTCAGCCTATATCTGGTTGGATGATCGTTCACCTCTGCTTAGGCATGTGAAAGGGAGACCAGCAGTCAAGCTAGTCGGCTTTGGCTCTCTGGAGCTGTTACGCCACGGATTTATTATTTATTTATTTAGTTCGTCAGCTCTGCCCAGTGTTAGGGGTGCTCATTTCGTATTAGAAGCGTTGGCACATGGCTGCAAAACTTGGCAGTACAACTGAAATTAACCCGCACTACCTGGTTTACCCGCGAAAAAAGTTAAATGAAAACGTTATCAGCAACATGGTCAACTGTAATGAAATTAAAACTTATCTCTTGAAAAAACCGTACATTTAGCGATGTTGTGTTTCTGGATTTTGACACCGTGCAGACTCACGTATACCAGCGTTTCGGAGAAACATGCGGTCTCCATCTTCAGGGTTGAAGTTATGTGTGTCGAAAACGTTGATATCTACCAGCGAGTTTACACGATCTCAAAACCCAGATGAAGAATGTCGTTATCCTCACCGCCGTGAGAACCTGAAATCCCACATCATAATGCATCAGTCTGTTCTCGCTTTTCGATCCTCTTCGGTTGTTGTGTGCGTCTGTTTCTCGTTATCACAGTTTTACAGCACATTCAAAGGTCGGAAACGAGTAGGTGGGCTTTCAGAATGAACTTGTGCGTATTACAGCACTGAAATCTCAGAGTATCCACCCACTGCTTATGAAACCTTTACTGGCGTTGTAATGTTGGCGCGATGTGCCGGTTTTATAGTTCTCGGTCGACTAAGCAGATAGCAAGCTTGCCCTTACTTCTAGCTTGAGTGCTAGAATTGATAAACAAAAACGTGGAAAGGCGTTCACAGGCCTTTCCAAGCGCATTCGTTGGTGTTCTGCGTAACTCTTTCATGATAATTTTTTACTGCAGATTTAAATATGCTGTTTTGAAGCTAATTAATATTGTAAGTGTCACAGTCAACTGTAATTAATCCGTTAAATCTTAACCATGTCGAAAAATGCTGGTCTTCACCTCTGAAGATAGAGGCAGTATGTTCTTCCTAAACGTTGATGTCTGCCAACAGGTCCACCCGGCGTTAAAGCCCAGGAGACCAACATTGACATCTTCATCACCGTGAGAACCTCAAATTTCATATGACGAGAAGTGTTTCAAATCAAAGTTGTATATATTTGCAAGGCCCGTACAGAGTAAATACATTTCAATGACAGAGATTCTTAAGTAATTCAGAGGAAGCCAATGCTGTGTTTGGTGTGTGCCACTTAGTTAACCACCGAAGATGTTCAGATTGACTAATCGCCGTGTTACGGTATTATTGACAGTGGCAAATAAGTGAACGGCCAACTGGCGCTGTGTTTCTGCTACGATGGCTGCACGCGACTGCTCACTTGTGGTATTTATTTTTCTTCCATGAACATAAATATCCACTCGACTATTTCGTCTGTCATATTTACTTGTTGTAAGACGCTTCCCATTCCTGCGCAAGAATAATTTTTATTCACAAACCATTTAAAAATTGCCGAAACGTATACTATCATGTTCCCCACAAAATATATCCTAATACTTATCGTGGGGACCTGAAACAAACAACGGAAAATTTGAGACTGGTATCGTACGTCCTGAGGCCTTAGGAGCTTCGTGCTTAGCAATCCGCGTCCCACTTAAGTGACCTCATTCCGCTGCTGTCAACCCGTGCCTGATTACATAAGCTTGCCGCAGTAGAAAGAACGAAGCGGAAAGCCCGTTCTCTGTGGAGCCACTGTCCCGTTACACCTCACAATAATAATTTTTTCCTTACATTAAGTTGTTAAGCGAAATGCCGTGAAGACGCATGGTCGAGCGGAAGTAGAATTCCACTTCCGCTTCTACCCCGAGTTCATAAGGAAAGCAACAAAAGCCCCAGAAATTTCGGAAAGGAAAAGAGGGCTGTAATTCGGAAAGAAGACTCTTTCTGATCAATGCTCACAAATACTTTTCTCACTGTTTTAACATGTACGATTCGTAAATTTGTTCCAGTTCTATTGGACTAATATCAGAGGATGTAACGCACATTCGCGAACTTTTGCGTTAAATTAAGCCGGATGCAGCAAGCTATTCATTGCTAGGTTTAATGATGGTAAAGGTTAAGTGAAAGCACGTCTGACCATGCTCTGTGGACGGATACTGAGATGAAAGGGGGAAGAGCGAAGCTGGTTCATTTCGGTACAAGACGTCTCTGGGAAAACCGATGTCTTCGAGGTACCGGAAAACACGTGGCTGTTTCTTAAGTTTCAATGTTCAAATCCGGGTGCAGGTAGGCCTACAGTACTTACTGGATGTGCCCAAAACCGGTCGTACCAGTTCCTATAAAAATAGAGTTCGCTGTCATCTTACTTTCTGCTCTTATTTGTAAAACTCGTAATGTGGCCACGCCGCGCCGACTTCATCGGCTCTGTTTGTGAGGGGCACATTCTTGCGCGAAGCGATTCTCGTTTTTCGGTTCGAATCCTCCGTACAGTTTTGATGATATTTGAATTTTTCACTCATCGTATTATACTTAGTTTGTGGCTTCTGACCTGGTTTGACCGCATGCCATCGTACTACCCCGCTTTCGAGGTGTCCTATTCAATACACCTGCAAGTTTTGTATGTAAAATATAGCAACACGGACGGTGACGTTAGCAGGCTGCGTTATTAACCACTGCTGAATG